TCTTTTTTTTGCCCTTTTTTTTTTAATTTTCACCCCCCCCCCGCCATATTGGAGGTTCTGGAAAAACATTTTTTTTTTTTCTTTGCCCATTTGAATCCAAACAACCTAGATGCTTTTTAGTAAAAGCTATTTTGTCCTTAGTGGTTGTTAGTTGTCATAATTTTCTTCCAGAACTGTGCTTTCCTTAGGATTACTTTTCTGTTATTTCCCTTCATTCATACACATTAGAATGTAGTGGTGCTTTGTAAACAAACAGCAGATATCTACCAAGAATCACAGCATTCAAGTTTTCTAACATGGAATGTTAAATAAAATAAAATGAAGAAAAAGAGGACATTTAAAATTATATTAAAAACATAAAACCAAAAGCAAACCTTCCTGCAGAATTTGAGTTGTTTCGTTCATCTCTGACTTTCATGAATCTTAAGAAAGCAGCAGCATTCAAGATTTTCTTTCTTCTTTTTTTTCTTTCTACTTATTGTGTTAGAAGTAAGCAATTTATTTAACTTGTCGGGATTATAACACTGGTGCAGTGGGTGTTAGGAGGCTTTGTAGCTACATCCTTATTTCTGAAATGTGATTACTACAATTATTTCTAATTCATAATCTATGACAGCAGAGTGAAACAAATACTTAAGTTAGTGCTATCCACAGTCACTTTTCCTAATGATCAGTAAAAGCTCCGTTACTATCTCCTCAGTAATAACTAGCCTTGCACTAGTATATTTAAAGCATTTATGCAGACTCCCAAGATAAAGGTGGGAAGGCAATTCTAGATTATGGAGGTTTTAAGATGAAAAATGCTAGCTTTTAGTTAGTTTGACATGTATGGGTTATTTCTTCATTTTGAATTTAACATTAAAAAAAAAAAGTGAATTGTAAACACACTACTTAAAGAAGGAAGTGTTGCACTGTATCAAATGGCCAATTTTAATACTGGCCAAGGGTTTGCAGCACGTGATTAAAATGACTTTTTCTCTTCTTAAAAATATGCAAGGGAATAATGTGTTTGCTGCTGCATTTGATTGTCAGTTGTCCTGGATACGTACTGACTACAAATGCTAATGCTGAAAACAAAGCTAAGACATTTCTGTAACTGGTGCCTTATAATAAGTTAACTTTTGTTATTTCTTTCTTTCTGTGTTGAGACAGTAAGCATTTAAATAGGAGGGTATTTTTTGAAGTTCTCACATATTAGAATAAGCGTTCTGTATTGTGTATTCCTGTGCTTTCTCCCATTTCTGTAAATAGAAGCTCGGCCTCTGTTTTCCAGTGAGTGAAATTGTCGCTAGTTTGACACTGTGAAAATACAGTTAGAATTTGCAGGAATTTTTTGCAGTTTCTTTCATCCCTAGTGAATATGCTTTTCGTTGTTGTTGTTGAATACAGTGGTCTTTGGCAACCAATTATTTTTATGTTTAACATACATAAACATGTTTATATCAGATGATTCATTGTATCGCATTGCCTAAGCATAATCCCTACTGTTGCTCACTGGAAATAAGCATACAGGCATATTAAGAAACTTTAGTAAAGAGAAGTACTATTCTTTGAAATGCAAAGCTCTTGAAATATGTAAAACATGATA